AGGGAGCAGGGGAGGCTGGGCGACTGTGGCAACAAGGATAGCCATATTTGGAATGATGATAGCAGTGACTAAATGAATTATGCCGAGAGTGATATTTGTAGTATATTGGACTGTGCCATCTGTGGTAAAATCAGACTGGTGAAAGCTGTTGAGATGACATCCCACTTCTGTAGTGTACCTGATGATGTGGTGGTAGGTGCAGGGAGCGAGGTGAGCGTGGTGATCCCTTTGAGGAAGGAGAAGAATGAGGCAGGTATCTTGAATCAGGAGGGTGATAAGCAGTACCTAGATGCATGTTACCTTGCTTGTTCACATGGAGAGTGGCCCCTGCCATCCGTTGCTATTTATGGAGAATATGGCGAAGGTGGTGCGGAAGATGGTGCCGGTTCTGGGCTTGCTGACCTGACAGAGGCAGATTTATAAGGTGCTTTCTTCGGTACCCGAAGGCTGGATAGGACATGTGGTGCCGAAGATGCTGGTGCTGAACTGATAGGTGCCGCAATGGTCTGTGCCAAAGTTGTCAGCATGTGTGTGACCGGTGCCAAAGTCGTCGGCATGTGTGTGGCCGGTGCCGAGGTAGTCAGTGCCGATGTCGTTGATACATTTGTTGACTGCTCCAATGCCGATGGTGCCAGTGTTGTTGGCACTGTTGCAGCCGGGGCCATCGCTGGCGGTGCCAAATGGCAAACTGTTATGACTATTGACGGCACCGTTACAGATTTTCGCCATGATTTTGGCTCCGACAGTGACTTATGCTTAGGTGCCACTGCTCCTTACATGGCAGGCTTATCATCGACACTGACTCATGCTGATGGCAAAGACTGAGCTGGCGAAGCTCTCTTTCGAGATGGGGCTGCCTTTGGCGAAACAGCCTTTCTCTTCTCCGCTCTAGGAGAATGTGGAGTGGAGATAGTACAAGAATACTCCAGAGGCTGGAGCACTTTGTCAAATAAAAACATTTTTAGCCTCATCTCCCTGTCCTTACGTGCCCTAACTGTCAGCTTGGCACAGTGAACTCACTTTTGAGGAACACGGGCCTCACTGAGGCACTTAATACATTCCGCATGAGCGTCCAAAGCTGGCATGGCGTCACGACGTGTGACGTACTTCTTAAAGCCAGGAGAGCCCGGCATGGCTAGTTACAAAACATACCAACTAACAAAGTCATCTTCTCTGTTTTTTTCTTCTCTCTGTAACTCTAACTAAAAAGACAAAACAATTAAGTATTATATTCCTGAACGGATTTCTCTGAGGAGAAGAGGCTCTCTCTGTCTGCGACCACGGGCGGCAAAGAAGGAACTGGTGGGAGCCAGACTGCACAAGAGATCAAAAGAGTGTGAATGGTATGAAGTGCAAGCCATACAGGCGTGGTCCAGCTGGCTACTGCTCAAGAAAACTCCGATTTGAAGCGCCGGGATGACCCGACACCTACAGTGGAGCACCCACAGGGACACCACTTGAAGAAGCAGCCTGATCTAAGAACAATGAGACCTGTTAAGTGGGCTCACTGAAAGAAAATTGGATATATGGACAGCCTTGGGAGTCAGCAGCACCCTCTTTGAAGGTGAATGTGGTAGCACTGAGACAACATCCAGAAGAAGGCGCCATAGGCAACAAACTGCATATGCATATGATGACTCACAGATTTTGCATATGCATAAGATAATAGATTTGCATGAGAGGGGAACTACTATAAATCAAAGGTATCTTGCAGGAGGACCCCGAGTTTTATCTTGTCAACATGGGAACATCGATCCAGATTGGCAGAAGCCTGGCTCCATCCCTCCCACTTCTTTATCACTTGGCCAGTGCTGTTAGGGGAAGCAACTACTGATAACAAGACAGAGTATGCTTGTGTGTATGTAAGTGCATGAGTGTGCTATATCAAATGCATATAAGTGTTGAATGCTATATGTATTACCCATAAATGTGGTGTTTTGCCTTTTCCCCCTGAAAAAATCCCATGCAGTACTTAGCACAACACAAGCCCTATTCACACTGATGAATGCTGAAAGAAATTTGACAGTATAGTGACTGACTTTAAAACAAGTATCCCAGAGAAAAACCTGTATTTTTAGTATTAGCTTCCACTCAATGCTTATTACTTTTCATTGTTTTCCTATTGTGGACTGAGAAATGAGAGCTCACTCTTACATTCCATATCCAAAATGTGTATATTAATAACCCAAGAATCATTTTTTGCACAAAGAGGAGTTTTCTTCATTACACAGATCAAGTGGCAAGATCCAAAAGTTCATTAATTGTATTTTGTCTTTACATACAATATAATTTTCAAATTTGCTAGTGCAACAAGGATCAAAATATTCCTAATCCAAATGGGCCTGAAATGTGAGCTTTTTGTATACTGACAGTTTATAGAATTATTTCAAGTTATACTAAAGGTAACAAAATGCTAGCAAATCACTTCATTTAAAAACATTGTATTGTCATTCTTAAAAACCCAATTATTTGTAAATGGCAGTTTGATTACAGTCGGATAATGGGATACTGTTGCAGAGATTTGATCTGATACTTCTGCTGTTTCATAATTGTTAAGCACTGTGCAATCACCTGATGAAAAAATGGGATACGCAATTAATTCTTTAGAAATTTCAAACATTGGGAATTACATTATTATTTAAAAATCAGATAATGCTTTTAATTTTTATTGTATAAAAACTGAGGCTTAAAAATGAATTGTCAAAAATAAACATTATATACACACACAAGCAGAAAAGTAGAATACTATTGTACAGGGAGGCTACGTCTACACTGGCCCCGATCCTCCGGAAAAAAAGCCCTTTTCCGGAGGATCTTATTCCTACTTTGAAGTAGGAATAAGATCCTCCGGAAAAGGGCTTTTTTTCCGGAGGATCGGGGCCAGTGTAGACGCTCTTTTCCGGCTTTTCTAAAAGCCGGAAAAAAGCGGCGGACATTTTTATTTAAATGCCACAGGGGATATTTAAATCCCCCACGCATTTCCCTATTGCGACTCGTGAAATTAACATGCCCCTTCCGGAAAAGGGGCCAGTATAGACGTAGCCGGAGAGAGAAGAGGTAGAAATGACCACAGGATACCAAGGGTACGTCTACACAGCAACATATTTCAAAATAACTAGCGTTATTTCAAAATAACTTAGTTCACATGTATACAGCAAGTAGTTATTATGAAATAATGTCAAAATACTGTCAAGCTGGAGGATTTCTTACTCTGACTTCCTGTAACCCTCATTATACGAGAAGTAAGGAAAGTTGGAGGAAAAGTGCTCTATATCAAAATTAGTGCTGTGTAGACACTCCCAATTTTGAAGTAAGTTATGCAACTTGAGATAAGCCCTGCTGTGTTGACGCACCCAAGAGACAGTGGAGCAAACAGATGTCACTCTACTCTCGGCAACTCTGAGGAAACAAGATTAATTGAAATGACAATAGTATGCATTTTTATTCTCCTGTATTCCACCCCCCACCTTGTTGCCTCTCATACAGATCTGAATAAACAGATACACAGCAGATAAGAATGGGAAGACCATTCCAAGAGTAAGGGGCAAAGTAAAAGGCATGAAGTATAGAAGAAAGAAAAATGCACCACAAGGAAAGAGGACCGGGAAGAACTTAGGACTTGGAAGATTTTTTTCTACAAATGTGGAGAAGTAGATGAGGCCTAGAAGACATGGGGTCTCAATGAAACTTCAAGGAGACTGAAGGCAATTAAGGAATTCAGGGAGAAGGTTCCATTATCAAAGCCACCAGAATGGAAAAGGACAGCAAGAGGACCATTTTGGATAGACTGGCCAGGAGAGAAAAGGTGAGGAGAAACTGAATGATTTATGTGGCCATGTGCATTTAATGTAAAGAAAAAACCTACTTTTCTAGAATTCTGTGGCAGTATTATGCCATCATCCCAGAGTCGAGCAGAAGAGTAAAATGCACTGCTTTCTTGGTCCAGCCTAGATAAGAGAATATTTCAGAAGCTTTAAAATTTTAGAATATGAAATTATTTGGAAAAGTCAAAGCAGAGAAACAGAAGCACGTAACAGAGGCTAACACACAAATTCTACTCTGTGATGCATACGTGAAGTTAATATAGAAGTCAGAGAGTGCCCAGTGCAAATTTAAGGACAGAGTTTGACCCTTAAGATGGTCTGTATTTCAGCCATCCCAGAGAGACAATAGTTCTACCTGAAAAGAAAATATGCAAGGCTTCTACTTAATATAAAATTGTTTTATAACAAACATTGCTATTTGATAGATTTTCCTCGATACAGGCAGTCCCCGGGTTACATGGATCCGACTTACATCAGATCCCTACTTACAAACGGGGTGAGGCAACCCCGCACTAGCTGCTTCCCCCCAGCAGACCAGGGAGACACTAAGCTAGCACCCCCGCCCCCAGCAGACCTGGGAGACACGGAGTGGCTTTTCTCAGCAGACACCTCAGCTTGAGAATAAAGGACTGAGGGAAGTGAGGCGTGGGAGAATAAAACTGAGCTCTGGAGAAATGTTTCCCTAGAGTTTCCCCTACAATATGTACCAGTTCCGACTTACATACAAATTCAACTTAAGAACAAACCTACAGTCCCTATCTTGTACGTAACCTGGGGACTGCCTGTATATGAATCAATGCACTAGGGATGTAAAAGTTTAACCAGTTAGCTGATAAGCTGATGCTTATTGGTTCCGATAATGGTTCAACTTCTGCAGGCTGCTTGTAGGGGCCAGAGGCACCGGCAGCTTGTGAAGCTGGCAGCCTGGCAGACCCCAGGAGCCAGTGAAGCCTGAAACCCGTAGGGCTGCAGACTGGCAGGGCCAGGAGCCTGTGAGTCTGGCAGCCTGTGAAATTTTAATTGGTTACACAGTTAATATTTTTAGAAGCTGTTTACATCCCTGCAATGTACTGGCTTTTTTGGGGAAAGGGGCACGGTGTTAAATCTACTTTATAGTTGGTGAGATATCTGGTAAGTGTTTTGGTCTGGAAGATAACAAAACTTAAGTGAAATTAATTTAATCATAACCATAAATTGAGGTTATTTTTAATACTTACTTTTCTTTTAAAAACTTTAACTCTGAGTCATCTCCTATGCAATCGTCATCCCCAGCCTGTGGGAATGTGGAGATATGTCTTGAATCCACAAGGGCAACTCTTGCATTAGGCCACAGGAACAGGAAGTTTGGATCAAATGACCTCCCACACTTTTAAAAAGTGAAAGCGAGACACATCAGTTTTAAGGACCTTAACAGCTAGGAAGAGCCATTCACTAAAAAGAGCCATGCAAGCAGGTCCCTGAAGAACAAAATTTAAATTTTAAGGTGTTTATATTCTGTTTTGACACATGATCTTTCAAGTCTTAACAGGGATCATTTAAAACACTTCAACATATTAAACTCAATCACATTCCTTGAAATAATGTGACTTTAAAGCAGTGCTTCTCAAAGTAGTCTGCAGACCCACTCTCAGAAAGCAGCTAACTGGACACTCCTGTTTGTTTATTTACCAGCTCTGCAGCCACAGTGCTTCGCAGCTTCCATTGGCTCCAATTTGCTGTTTGCAACCACAGGGAGCTGCAGGAAGTAGCATGGACCTGGCTTCTGCCACCCGCATCTCCCTTTGGCTTCAAGCGGAAAACCGGAGCCAATGAAAGTCACGCGGCTCCATGGCTGTGAAGCCAGTAAATAAACAAACAGAAGCAGCTACTTAGCAGCACTCTCATTGTGGGTCCGCAGACCCACTTTAAGAAACACTGCTTTAAAGGTATGAATCAAAATGACAAGTTTTAGCATGTTCTATTTGCTTACTTTTTCTGTTGCATTTTAAATTTTCTACCAGTAGAGAGTGGGAGGTGCAGAGCAGGGGGATGTGCAGGAAACAAGGCGGGGGTGGGGCACTTAGACCAAGTGGTGGTGGTGGTGATGGTGGTGGGGCTTCTCGGGGCCGGCTGTGGCAGCAAGGGTGGTGCTGTTCCAATTGCATCTCTACCAAGGGATAGGGTTGTACTGCCAAGCCCCCTCAGCTGGCGGTTCCTGAGGGGTGGGGATGACCTGGCCAGCCCCTCTGGCCAGCCAGTCTACCCAAGTCCTCTCGGTGACTGTGGGGAGGGGATAAGGAAGGGAGGTTAGGCTTGGGTTGTCCAGCCCCTACTCAGCTGGGGGTGGGAGGGGGGGAGGAGAAACCAGGCTGCTTTTCCCAGACTCTACATGTGGGAGGGGGTCCAGGTCCATGGTTCCCACTTTCTCCCCTGGTGTCTTCTCTGGGGTGGGCCAAGGAAAGCCAGACCACTGTTTCTGGCCCTGAGCGTCTTATGGAAGGGCTGCCTGGCCTGGAGGTGGTCCAGGGCGGACGGTTGTTGACATGGTTAGGCACTGCAGCCAAAGGGGGCAAGGTTTGGGACAGGGAGGCTTCTTACTTGGTCCAATGACCAGCAACATGGTCCCCCACTGATCACTTAGCTGTATCACTGTCCTCCAACCAGCCCCCTCCCCTTTCCATGTTATGGAAAACAATCCCATTCCATGCACTTCCCATTTTCCTGGCACAACCAAACCCTGATCTTCCTTTAAGTTAGAATAAGAGGAAGCTGCATACCAAATTTGGTGGTCCTAGCTCTTACCATTTTGGAGAAGTTCTTGAACAGACTCATGGACAGACAGCTGTACATTTATCATATATGGATAATTTCTGGGCTAAATATCTGAAGGGGAATATTAACTGAGTTTGTCAAGTCTAACTGGAACAAATGCACGCATCCATATTATAAATGTTCAAAGTCATGGCATATGTAACTGAGACCTGGCCTGAGATGATGTTGAAGGTCACTGGCTTCAATCAGAGTTCATGTCATTCAGTCTTACAGGTTTGTAAATTGTCTGTACTTCAGAAATGTCTGTGTGTGTAAAAGATCAATGTGTAACTCTGTTTATACACTTTACCTTTAAGCATGTGAGTAGTCCCCACTGCATATGCTACTAGCACTATAAATGAGAAGTAAGAAGAAACTAAGAGAGATCACTGAGATCAATCAGCTCCAGCTAAGGAACAAGGGCAGCATTTAATCTTTAGTGTGAGCAGTTTCAGAACTGATGCCCAGCTTTCACAGAGAGGGACCCAACTACTTAGTTTGTGAGGAAGCTCCTATTTTAAAAATAATGGCAGACTGATCGAAATGGAAATCTGTGAAAAATCAAATATTACTCAACATATTTACCATACCATAGCATAACTTTCATTCCCATAACTGCCACCAATTACAAGGGTTATCTTGGGCACAGCAGCACAAGCAATTGCAGCCATCATGGAGGCCTGTGCCTTTAATCTGTTGGTGTGATTCTCTGCCTGAAATTAAAATACAGATAAAGTCATTGTAGTTCTTATTTTTTTTTCTAAATTCCCTTCACCCCACCCAAACTTACAAAGAAATTCTGAATATTTTATATCTAAGTGGTTAATGTTTTCAGAACAAATAACTGTAGAACAGTGAAATACAAATGTGAGTTTTATAGTGTACGCCATAATACTATAAATCAAAGAAATAATTATTGCCTGTGCAGATAGTGGAGCACTGCTATGCTACATAAGTTATGGATCCTGGAGCGATTTTGGCTCTGTCTGGACTAGCTCAGATGCACTGCAGTTGTACCAGGCTTGATCTCAAATACTAGGAGCATACAGAATAGGGTGTAAATGTGCATAGAGAGAGGAGTTCTTTGCTCACAGAACCTAGTGCTAAGCCTACCCTGATGTTCTCTGTAGCCTTCAGCAAGTAACTTTTAACTCTCACCTCAGTTTCTCCACCTGTAAAACAGAGATAATATTGAGCTACCTCCCTGATTATGCTGTTATGAAAACTAATTAATATTTTTAGATGAAAAGCACTGAGTACTAGGTTTAACTACTAGCACTGAAGGCTGGACATGCTATCACCTCTAGTTATGCACAGTATTGTTAGAGCAAGAGAATATAGATAAGTGTAGCACCAAGGGAAAATAGTGACCCTCTCGAATGTGCTTACACTCTTGTGCTTAGTACCTCTCAGGTATGAGTGTTTCTGTAATATCAGCCCTGTTCTTGCCAATTTCTGTGAGCAGAGCCTGCCTCTTGCTCACAACTTAACTTTGCTTTCTATTAACAAAGTCTTGACCATTGCTGTCTAGGCCTCAGGCCAAATACCTGGCCTGTGATACATGGGCTTATGTTTCAGACCCTCACTTTACTAAGGGACAAGTACTAGAATTACCTTCTCATTCTTGAATTACAGTGCCATACCTGTGAGAGACTTGTTGGCTCTGCTGCATGTGGAGCAGTATTCTGCAGAAACAGGATGGGAATGCTTCGCTGACTACACAGCTGTACAAAGTGGCTGCCCTTTAGAGAAGCATCATGCGTCAGCTCACCATTGTTAGCCACTATCCCAACTAGGTGTCTAACAAAACACATACAGAAACACTTTCATTTTTATAACCTGAGATTGGTAAAAATGTTGTTTGTAGTGAACAAAAATAATATCCATATGTATTAGTATTAGTCCAATAGGAGCATCTTCAAGGGAAAGTCAAAATAATAAAAAAATTGCACTAATACAAAGTATGCACTGAATATATCCAATAACTTAACATGATCTGTTTTAGCACATACTAACCATTTAAGCAACTGACCACAAATAGTCTTGCATAAAGGAAAGGCTGCTGTTAATGCTATAACTGAAAACACTGGTCACTTTGGAAACACTTGAAAATAGATTGAAAATTCTTTTACTTATATTGTTTAGTTAACAATTACTTGCTTCATAAAATGTCCTAAATGCTAGTCCAAAAATGCTGCTTAATGGGGTTAAGACTTTGAAGTTCTACACGGTAAGAAAGAAAGGGTGGGCTGGACCAGTGTGAATGGCAAAGTTTCAATGTCTACTGCCAGAAAAAAAGATCAGACTGATTATTATTTCTTTCTAGTTTATTCATGAGCAAATCCTATTCACATTCCAAAGGATAAACTGCAGCTAAAAGAAAAACAAATACATTTTACAATGCGTTCTGTACCTTCCATGGTTCTAATGGACATTCTGTACTATGCCGCACACTCAGTAGCTGCAAGTCTAAGTTTAAACTATGTTTCTAGCTTATTTTGCAGATTATGCTTATCAATGCTGTTATTTGTTTAAAGCAGGGAATCTGAATAAGAAATTCAACAGGACACACAAGGCCAGTAACTACTAATAACTCTAAAGATGGCTACTTATTAATGATCTCAGCTTGACAACCTCTCAACCCACTCATGGCAGCAAGCAAAATACACTTGCCCAATATACTCAGCTGTTTAATTTGTCTTTTCAGTATAATGGAATGTGTGCCTCAAATATTCATCTAGTCCCAGAGGAGAATCAATTAACCTGACTGTTAAGCAGAGTGGCATGCTTTATTAATTCTAGCAAAAAGATTTATCATCTAGCACTGTTTAGTGATAAATTTAACCTTTATTAAGGAGAAAGGAACTATCACACTAGAGGTTACTTCTGACACACAAAATGGGCCTAAATATTTATTTCGATCTTTTAAAGATCTTGAGTGAATTAATTCTAGTAAAATGTCCCAGAATAACTGCCATAGAAGATAATTTCTTATCCACTGAACTGGCACAGTACAGGAATTGGCAATACAAGCTCACTCGCACTGCCTCACCCATATACCTCAGTCTGGCTCTAAGGGAAGCATTTTGAGAGGCTCAGTCTCCAAGTCTTTTTACTATTTAGTGAATCTGCTGATACTGCCAACCTAGAAGTACCAACTACAATGTGAACACCTGTCCACATAGGTACTGGCCTGAATCACTGACTCATTTCACATAGGCACAGCTGTCAGCTTGTAATAGCTCTCAGCCTCTACTGACATTGACAGGTCTGAATTCAGAACCTAGAGATGAAACCTGAGGCTAAGTAGAACTACCCTATCATCAGTCACTTGAACAATCTAGAACTCTAACTTAAGGTGTTTTTTTTTAACTGGACATGTTACAAGACCTAATAATAATACAAAAGCTTCGTAACCAAAAGAGAGTTTGATTTTTTTATGATAAACTTTTGCAAACTTACCCTTCCATATGGGCAAATCCCGTTACTAATGTTGTTCCATATTCAGCTTTGAATTCCTGGAACCTGCTTCCATCTATCAGACGGCTCAAAATCTATAAAGAAATTACTTATTTTCAATAAAATTTAAATCAAGATGTGATGTCTTTCTAAACCTATACTTTCTCCAACCAGAAATTACAGCCTGTGCTATTCAGAAGCTCAGAGTAGATCGTAACAGTCCTTCAAGATTTAAAAACCCATTATATCTAAATTATGCAACGAGCAGGAAAACAAACTTTAAACTTGGCCTCTAAACAGTCTGGGTATGTCTACACTACCACCCTAGTTCCAACTAGGGTGGTTAATGTAGGCAATCGAAGTTGCAAATGAAGCCCGGGATTTAAATATCCCGGGCTTCATTTGCATCTTGCCGGGCGCCGCCATTTTTAAAGCCCCGGTAGTTCCGACTCTGTGCCCGCGGCTACACGTGGCACGGAGTAGGTAGTTCGAATTAGACTTTCTAATTCGAACTACCGTTACTCCTAGGGTGGAACGAGAAGTAATGGTAGTTCAAATTAGAAAGCCTAATTCGAACTACCTACTCCGTGCCGCGTGTAGCCGCGGGCACAGAGTCGGAACTACCGGGGCTTTAAAAATGGCGGCGCCCGGCAAGATGCAAATGAAGCCCGGGATATTTAAATCCCGGGCTTCGTTTGCAACTTCAATTGCCTACATTAACCATCCTAGTTCGAACTAGGGTGGTAGTGTAGACATACCCTCTGAGTGAATACCCATTCAATGTGAACAAAAATGCACCTTTGGGCAAGTAAAATAAGGCTATTTTGAGTGCAATCACCTGGCTTGTGCACACAAGTTACTGCACTAAAACCATGAGCTCACAATTTTTTCAGATGTATTCTAAGACCATTTAAAAAATTAAGAAGAGGCCTCTGAATTGTTAGAATTTACTTCTGGCAAAAGATGCTGGATTAATATCCCTGGAGTCCAAAATCCTGTGTATACCCATAGCCCACATATAACAGGAGGAATGATAGTCCAAGTTTCCTCACTATTGTGTCTATTCTGGAAGAACCAGTGGGTAGGAAGAAGTCAGACTCCTTAATTCACTCATTCTTCAGCTTTGCTGAGACCACCGGCAAGGATGCAAGTTAGTTCCAACTGTAGGAGTGGTTTCTGTGATGTGCAGCTTTGTCTACTGAGAAATGGACAACATGCACCAAAACCATTTTACATAGATTTGCAGTTCCTTAAATTAGCCACAGAGATGCAAAGCACACCAACCCTGAAGCACTCCAAGTTCCTACAAGCTTTGGCATGTGAGAATAGTAGTACAGGCAGTCCCCGACTTACGTGGATCCGACTTACGTCGGATCCCTAGATACGAACGGGGTGAGGCAACTCCCGCACATGCGCAGCAGCATTCCCGGGGCTCGCTCACCTGGGTCCTAGGATCCTCCTCCTCCTCGGGCCGGCTCCGACTGGGGTCCCGCAGAGCTGCCGGGCAGAGGAAAAGTGCCTCCCCACTATAAAATGTGGTTCTACGGTGGTTGATTATATGACTGTCTCCAAACTTCATTTTAAACTTTATCTATCCTTACCCAGAGAGAACATGCAATAAGTATGTAGTTTAATTATTACAGTAACTCTAAGTTCCCTTGAATTGGTAAATGAATTGGACACTTCACATTATTATAAAGTAGTTGTTTTCTAGATTGATTTCTTCCCTTTTAAATGTTAGATAATATTAAACCCAGAATACAGGAGACTATCCTTTCAGTGTCTTCTTGCAATTTCCTCATATTAAATAACAGCTATTAGCAAAAATTTACAGTTAGGTACTTCATAAAAGGACTCAGGATAAATATAAAATTGTTCTTCTCTAAAGTTAAGTTTCCACTATGAAGGTACAGGCAGTCCCCGGGTTACATGGATCCGACTTACATTGGATCCCTAGTTACAAACGGGGTGAGGCAACCCCGCACTAGCTGCTTCCCCCCAGCAGACCAGGGAGATGCGAAGCTAGCGCCCCCCCACCCCAGCAGACCAGGGAGAGGTGGAGCGGCTTTTCTCAGCAGACACCTCAGCTTGAGAATAAAGGACTGAGGGAAGTGAGGTGTGGGAGAATAAAACTGAGCTCTGGAGAAATGTTTGGCTAGAGTTTCCCCTACAATATGTACCAGTTCCGACTTACATACAAATTCAACTTAAGAACAAACCTACAGTCCCTATCTTGTACGTAACCCGGGGACTGCCTGTACTTCCAGGATCATTTGGTGCAGTTACCCTCCTCTCTACAAAGTGTTTAACTTTTTTTTTTCTTTTAAACATAACCATAAGGAACCTTTGCCATTACATTTTGAAATATATTCAAGACAGAAAGAGGAGCTGAAGTAGTAGTCAAGTCCTTGGAAACAGTAAAAGCAACACTGAATACTTCATGTGATTTAAGATTCTCAAGTGAATCCTCCAAAGAAAGCAAGTATGTTTTCTTTTAATCTGCAGAGAGAGAATTAAGCAGACACTTAAAATCTGTGAACTATGGCAGCACTTGTCTTTCTTACCAGTTTTAGAGGTAGAGTATATCTATAACCTTGTGGTGCAAGCCCCAGGAGCTCTTCGGCACCGTACAGAGGCTCATCATACTCCAAAGTTTCCTCTTGTGGAAGTTCATAATTTAGCGTCAAGATAATATTTCTAACACATTCATACGCTGCCTCTTCTGAAGATGCAAAATGGTCGATGCAACCACTGACTCTGAAGGACCACATTAGAGAAATACACAATAAAAATGAAAGTTCAGAACAAACTCTGGGGGGGAAGCTAGTCCCTAGCTTCTGGGAGGTGGAGCTGGCACGTGACCATGTACCAAAATTCATTCAGTGCCCCCCGGGGAAAATTATTGCCCATCTATGTTTAAGATCATATGGTGTCCTGTCACTGCAGACATCAGGCATACCTTTTGTTAGTAAATACATTATTTGAATCCCATTTTTCTTAAACTGTGTACCTACTTAGAGTGCAGAGTGGCTCCTCCTAGATCCTCAGGAGAGATATCTTCTCCTGTGGCAGCTTTAACCAAAGGGGGTCCAGCAAGAAACATAGTACCAATTTTGTCTACAATCACGGTTTCCTCTGCCATGGTAGGAACGTAGGCACCCCCAGCTGTACAAGAACCACACACCACTGCCACCTAAGGGGGAAACAAGATATCTGAGAAAGGACTATACTATTTTAATTTCAATAGTAAGCTGTTTTTATGCACTTTTGAGATTTATAATCTTCATGCATCTAATTAAAAAGCCTTCAAAACTTTTTAAACTAGTCTTTTATTTTAAAATGGTATTCATTAGCTGGCTACTAAATTATAATGTAAGGAAAGACCATTAAAAGAGACCATTCTGGTGCTATTAGCTCATCAGCAAAACAAAAGCTTTTTCTCAAGTAACTTCAGGGAGCTGTAGCCTGGTCTATGGCCCTTTATTATTGAAAATTTGTATCTATTTTTTTAAAATACTGATAATCTAAATTAGACAAAATAAATATCAAATTCTTCTAAGCTTACAAGCATTAACTAATAATTGATGCAAAGTAAAATACATTCCATAACTCTTTGAAACTATACTGAAACTTAGATGGTCTCTTCTTTTTTCTTGCCTCTTCCCTATTTGGATGGCCTCTTTTCTTTGGTATTAGTTATAAAAGCAAATGGATGGTACAAAATCATAATGCGGCTCTTCAATTTAACTCTAAAATATTAACATTTTTACTTGATAAACAAAATCAGCAAAAGAGTAATATTTTACTAAGAGAGCTCTTCATGAGACACAAGCCTCCCTGCCCTGATCCCCTTCCCAGCCACCAGGTTCCACTGTCTTGTCCCTGAGCTCTGCTGCCCCAATGGCCCTGTCTGCCCTGCTGCCAGCACCGCTCCCTGCCATGGGCAACCTCTGCGGCTGTGGCTCTTTGATCTTGCATGATCATGGATGTTACTGGATCTGAGAGTCCCGAACCAGAGAGGTTCAACCTGTATGTTCTTTGGACCTGGAGATACAAATCCACTGTCAATCACAACCTTCCAAAGTAGATAACTGACTGTCATACTGTTCACTTGGGGTGTCAAATTATGTCTTTTCTGCAGGGACATTAAGGAGTAAATGATGTTTTCCCTAAGATAAGGAATTTGCTCTGATATCTTTGGCCAAAATTTCCCTTTGTCTTTCCAAAAGATAACAGTATTTCAGTGTTGCTACACAGAGTTTGTAAAATGCTTTTGGGATCCTTCAGACTGAAATGTGATATTTACAATATATGAATTCCTAGTTGATTTTTCTCCTCAATATTACACAAAACTAGAAGTTAGTATTTTTCCATATCTGAGTATTGGTTCTAGAAGCTGTATTACTAGAACAAAATGTTTTCCATAAATCTATTAACCACATATATTATCTTTATACAGATTCAACACAACATTGTACCTGAGGGATTTTCATAGCAGACATTATTGCCTCATTGTAGAATATTCTGCCACCATGGGACTGATCAGGAAAGAGCTCTGCCTGACAATGCAGAGAAAAGACAAACACAAAAGCAAATAAGTTGTACAGTATAACTGATTCATAGAGAACCACTGTTACTAATCATAACTTTCAGGCACTGTTTTATTCTCTATTGCATGTACTGCCCACCTGAAGCTCAATTCAACAAAAATAACCATGGCCTTCTTTACTGCACAAGGCAGAGAGAAGTCACAGATCTTGGCTCTGTGAAAGGGCAATCTATTCCTATTCAAGGTCAGCTGGAGCACAGAAGCCATTTCTCATTAGATACATGAGCACTGACTGAAAACCAGGGAACAGGAGAGAGCTCATATTCATTCTACATTTCTGAAATGAATTCAACACCGTTTCTTTTTTGTCCTTTGTTTTCAATGCAATTTCTAGATTCAGAATTAAACTAGATGCTGTTTTAATCATACAGAACTCCTGCTGACTCAATAACGGGCTCAGTTATAGTTACTGTCTACAAAGCTGTGCTTTCTGTTTGAGATGGCGCAGCTTTAGCTTTTCAGCAGAAGCCACGTGTACCAAGAATACTCACATTCTTTGCAGAAACTTGAATTCCGTGTGGTGAAGTGACCTCTGCTAACCCCTTTTCCCATATTACAGAAAGGAGAAAGTCTCCATTTTATTTTTAAGGGGTTTATCTGTCATACATTTTCTCTGTATTATTACAAACTTTACACTAAAATATTTGTATTTGCAATATTTATTCAAACTAAAAATACAAACTCAAAAAACTGAAGATCAAGGGGGCCTTCTCTTGAGATCACAGTGTTTGCTAAGTACACAATTTGAGCTCATCTAGACTACACTGAAGTTCTGAAAGAGGATATATAAATTCCGTGGGAAATTGCATCTCTTCTTCCAATCTCACTTTCGAAAGCAGAGCTTTCAAAAGTGAAAGTAGTCGGGACGTGGTTTTTTTGGCAACCCTCCCCCCCTTTTTTCAAAAAGCCACATAAACCTCATTTTTTGAGTAAGAGAAACTTTTCAAAAAAGGGGGGGGTTGCCGAAAAAAACCCTGTATCCCGACTATTTTCACTTTTGAAAGCTCTGCTTTCAAAATTAGATTGGAAGAAGATATGCAAATTCCCGCAGATATGCAAATTCGGAACTTCAGCATAACCTAGACGAGCCCTTTGTTCCCATGTAGAGACTCAGGTTTCTAAATGCTCATAACCTCCATGATAGGACAAAATGCAATACAGGAAGCCCCCAACTTGCGACTGCCCGAGTTCCAACCCGCCACACAAACAACCATTTTTGTAAATGAGGAAGGGGCCAGAAACCCCTAACTTGAGTCCTCAGCCTGCATTTTTGATGGTGCACGGCGCCTATCATAAATAAGGGTTTGAGTTACAATGCCCCGACTTGCGACGCTTCACCCGGAACCAATCGTGTCGCAAGTTGGGGGCCTCCCGTATTCTCAAATTGCAGCAAGGGAGGTTTAGGTTGGAGATTAGGAAAAACTTGCTAAACTGTCAAGATGGTTAAACACTGAATAAATTGTCTAGGAAGGTTGTGGAATCTCCATCATTGGAAATTTTTAAGAGCAGGTTAGGCAAACATCTGCCAGGGATGGTCTAGGTGGGCACTTCATCCTGCAGTGAGTGCAGCGGACTGGACTTACTAACGTCCCAAGGTTTCTTCCAGTTCTAGTATTCTAAGATAAAGTTGGCTTCCCTTACATGTAAGATCAGTCAGAATTACTATCATTGTCTTGGACGTTAGAAACACCTCTACTCTGATTTGTTTGCAGAGTTCAATTAGAGTATAACTTGGAAAAAAATTGAAGTCAGACAGCCAAAAAACTCAGAACAAGATTCACTTCTAAAAATTAATCTGATGCAAATAAAAAAGCTATTTTCATACAATGTGCCCTTTCCAACATTACCTGTAGCGGTAGGAATGCTCCCCCGCTGTCAACTAGATACACAGATAAAAGTCTGTTTTGAATTGCTATATGTTGAGCTCTTAGCTGTTTCTTCACTGAAATGGGATAAATGGTCCCGCCTTTAACTGTTGCATCATTTGCCATAAAGACACACCAGACTCCACAGATCTTTCCAATTCCTGAAACAGAGACCACAAATATTCATTAAGGGCTCTGTAATAACCCAAATGTAGACATTTTGAAATAGTTCCATATGCTAAACAAGGAAGCCAAAGTGCAAGTTATTTTTTACAATAGTAGCAGCATCTCAATAAGGCTTTCTATAACATGTACCCCTATGCCAATGAAGCTACAGATACTGTTTGCAGCAGATATATACTATTCTGTAGCCTTACAATGTAGTCTTATTTTGAAAAATGAGAGTGAAGGCTTATGGCATTGTACAGATGAAAACAAGAGCAGAATGTGACCTGAAACAGCTTTGCTACTGACATTACAAGAGGAAAGAACTTTGCTCTCCAAATGAGTTTGTAGGATATGCAATTAGGAGGAAAAATGCATAAAAACCGAGTAAATTCGAAAGAGAAACAGTGAGACAATAAATATGGAACAGTATTAAACCATTTTCCAGCCGCTTTTCATCACAGGACTACACTTTCAAATGCAACAAGACCAGGGTACGTCTACACTACAGCGCTAGTTCGAACTAACTTAGTTCGAATTAGTTAATTCGAACTAAGCTAGTTCGAACTAACGCGTCTAGAACTAAAAACTAGTTCGAACTAGCGTTTTGCTAGTTCGAACTAGCAAGTCCACATTGAGTGGACTCTGAACAGGGCTTAAGGATGGCCGGAAGCAGTGCCGGCAGGGCATAAAAGGAGGACTTAGAGCATGGAGATGCTGTCTCAGGCTAGCCGAGGGCTGCGCTTAAAGGGTCCCGACCCCCACCCCGGACACACAGTTCTAAGGGGTGCCCCGCTTGCAAAGAAGTTCTGGCTTGGAGTGCCCTGAGTGCCCACACTGGGCACATCACACCACTCGGCCATCAGCCCGGCTGCACTTGCCGCAGGCTGCCATCTGGGGAGAGGGAGTAATTGGGGGGCTGCAGGAGAGCTTCCACCCCCAGAAGCCCGCAGAGCCAGCCCAGTCCTCCCCATCGGGGGCTCGTACCCCATTCCTCCCTCACCTCCTTCCACTTACCCTTCCTTAGCCCCCCTTCTTATTGATGTACAAAATAAAGATAACGTTTCTTCCAACATTGACTCTGTCTTTATTGAAAAAAAACTGGGGGAGACTGGGAAAAGGAGGTGGGAGAGGGGAAGAGAAAGGCTGGGAGAGGGGAGGGCAACTAACATGATCAGGGGTTGGGAACAGGTCCCAGATGAAGAAAGGCTACAGAGACTGGGACTGTTCAGCTTAGAAAAGAGGAGACGGAGGGGGGACAGGATAGAGGTCTCTAAAAGCAGGGGTTGGGTGGAGAGGGTGCATTCAGAAAAGTTCTTCCTGAGTTCCCATAAAGAAGGACTAGAGGACACCAAAGGAAAGGAATGGGTAGCAGGCTTGAAACTAGTAAGAGAAAGTTGTTCTTCTTCCCAAAGCAAAGAGTTAACCAGTTAACTTGCTGCAGGAGGCTGTGAAGGCTACAACTAGAACAGAGTTTAAAGGGAAGTGAGATCAAGTCATGGAGGTTGGGTCCATGGAGTCCTATTAGCCAGAGGGTAGGAGTGGTGTCCCTGCCCAAAGTTTGTGGAAGGCTGGAGAGGGATGGCACGAGACAAATGGCTTGGTCATTGTCTTCGGTCCATCCCCTCCAGGGTCCCTAGGGTTGGCCGCTGTTGGCAGACAGGCTACTGGGCTAGATGGACCTTTGGTCTGACCCAGTACGGCCATTGTAAGCTCAGGGCTCAGGGTCGGGGGTCTCAGTGGACCCCCTTGATTTTCATGCACACCTGGTCCTGGGTGGCCAGGCTGGCAGCTCTCCTGCCCTAGACGGCCACTTTCCTGTGCCTAGTGCAGAGATCGTGGACGAGGTCCACGATGTCCTCACTAGCCCAGGAAGGTGCCCTCCTCTTGCGGTCCAGGGCAGTAATTCAAATTACTCTACTGACAAACTATTTTTTTCCCAAAATGAGAAATTACAAGAAAGCCGACTTCTCAAAATGGATAAAGAATAGTTTCTTTGGCCAGCCCGTGCCCCTTTAAGGGGTCCGGGGCCGGGAGGGGGGCATAGAGTTTCCCTGGTGTTGGCCAGAGTGGCCAACAGGGAAACCTGGGGAGGGCTAGCCTCCCACTAGTTCGAACTAAAGGGCTACACAGCCCTTAGTTCGAACTAGCTAGTTCGAACTAGGCGTTAGTCCTCGTAAAATGAGGTTTACCTAGTTCAAACTAAGCGCTCCGCTAGTTCGATTCAAATTCGAACTAGCGGAGCGCTAGTGTAGCACCTATTAAAGTTAGTTCGAACTAACGTCCGTTAGTTCGAACTAACTTTGTAGTGTAGACATACCCCAAATGATTTACTAGCAGGCAATCATTTAACCCTGAACTGATGATCCCCAAGCATTCTTCTAATTTTATTTCCTTTTCATTTAAAAAAGTGTGCTTACCATCCTTCCAAAAGGAGATCCTATAAGTGCTTACAAAAAAACTTTGCGACTGAAAAGGGCCCACATAATATCCTAAGTACCACTAAAATACTTGTCACGGGATGACTGGATCCTTTAAGAGGGAGTGTCATGTTATTGGAGTTTAAGGGAAGCAGCCAGGTCACTGCTGCGCCCATGGGGGAGTGTTTGCCCCAAAAGTGGGTACAAAGGAGGCCATGTGAGATGTCGAACAAAAGCTTACTTTCTACTGATTCAATTGGAAAGGGTACAGAGAAGAGTGACAAGAATGATTAAAGGTCTAGAGAAGCCTATGAAGCCAGGCTTCATGAACTGGGCTTGTTTAGTTTGGAAAAAAGAAGATTAAGGGGGGACATGATAGTGGTTTTCAAATATCTAAAAGGGTGTCACAAGGAGGAAGGCGAAAATTTGTTCCTCTTGGTTTCTGAGGACAGGACAAGGAGTAATGGGCTTAAAGTGCAGCAGGGGAGGTTTAGATTGGACATTAGGAAAAAATTCCTAACTGTCAGGGTGGTCAAATATTGGAATAAATTGCCAAGGGAGGTGGTGGAATCTCCCTCTCTGGAGATATTTAAGAACAGGTTAGATAGACATCTGTCAGGGATGGTGTAGACGGAGTTTGGTCCTGCCTTGAGGGCGGGGGGCTGGACTCGATGATCTCTCGAGGTCCCTTCCAGTCCTATTATTCTATGATTCTTACAACCTTACTCTCGCACTTTTCTTTCTGGTAGTAATAAACCTTTAGATTTTAGATTCTAAAGGACTGGCTCAGCGTGGTCTTGTGGGTAAGGTCCAGAGGGTAAATTGACCTGGGATCTGTGGCTGGTTTCTTGGACCTGACAGAACTTGTTCGAGGAAGGTGAGATTGGGCTCTAAAACTCCTCACCTGTGTATGAGGCCCGGGGCCATCTGCAGCATGGATATTGCTGGGGTATTGGAGGGGTTTTGCTCATGAGGCTTCAGGCAGGCAGCTGAAGCGCTCTGTGGGACTGGTTTGTGGCCTATTTGGGAAGGTCTCCATTCTGGGGGGCTGTAAGGAGCCCCGAATTTGAGCAATTCGCCCTGAGCAGACGCCCTCAGCTGTGCCCAGATCCAGCACGGTCCGTCACAGGGAGCAGTCTCCAATACACCTTTGATTGCTTAGCTGACATACAACTAGACTTCAGAGCAGACACCTGCACCTTAGGGGGAAGATAGAAAGGACAGGTAAGAATTGCTTGAGAACAGATGGCAGGAACAAGCTAAGGAAAAGCTGCTGAACATCTGAAAGACAGCAGTAACTATTTGCTGCTGGTGATGTGTACTGAGGAGAACTCACTAGAGCTGGGGAATCCTGTAAAAATATAGAAAAGCTCATGCACCCCTACAAATGAGGGTAAGAACGGGCTGAGTTGGTATGAAAATCAAATGAAGCAATTCTTGGCACACACAGCTGAGTGGCCTGGAAAGTGGAGACCGGGTATGGGACAGAAGGAATGAGACATAAAGGCTAATGATTCTCAGGGAGTGGGCTGCAAAGAGTGGCTTTGAATGGGATAGCGCTTGCTATCTTTCTCCACTGTGTTCTTATATTGCGGGAGTTTGGATCTGTGTTGGGCAGCATCAACAATTAATGAGTTCGGTCATGGATGGGAAAAACAAAAAGTCGGCTTCCTTTGGAGGAACAAAGTACTTCTTGTCAGCCCGTTTCTTTGTTGGTGGTACCGAACCTGGAGTCTGCCAGATCTCATCAGCAGCCTCCATAATAGCCTTGTGTAAGGGGACTGCAATCTTTGCCCACTGTGAGGGCTGAAGGTTTTTGAGAAGCCGGCGTTGTTTCTCCAGTACTTCGGTTAATTGAATATCTTGGTTTACAGCTACTCTCTTAAAGAGATCCTGAAATTGTATCAGGTCATCTGAAGAAGATTGGTCACCAGGTAACTGCCTCATTGGGAGATGATGAGGACTGATCTTTTGGTGAGGCATCTGGTGGGTGCTCCTCAACATCAGATAGTTGACCCTCCTCTGGTTCTGACATGTGAGCTGTATCAGGAGCGGTGGGAGGTGTAACTGCTATGTGCCATCTATGTGATGGTTGGGGAGAAACTGTAGGAGCACGAGAAGCTGGGTGACTGTACCAACAGGGATGACCATAATCTGAGTGTTGATAGTGATGTCGAGCCGAGGTATGATGAGGATAGTTATGGTAGTATGTTGGGCTATGCTGCCTGTAATCTGACCACACAAGGGAAGCATATCTAGATGAGTGTCCACTCCTGTAATGAGTGTGATAATGCACCAGGAGGTTTGGAGAACATGGGGAATTTGGTGCATCTCTTGAAGAAGGAGGCAGCGAACGAAAGGTATATCTTCTATGGGGGAAGGTGAGAAATTATATCTGGACCTACGGTGCCTGCTTTGGTCCCATAGGGTATGACCGCTGGCATCCCCTCTTAAGCAGGGTGAATGCGGAGAAGATGGTGCAGAGGACAGTGCTGGAGAGAAAGTTAAAGGGCCGGACTCATCTGTCTCGCAGAGTCAGATTTTTGGTTTGCTTTCTTCGGTGCTGATGGGCTGGACAGCATATATGGTGCCGAGATAGGCTTGTGAAGTGCTTTTGTCCATAAGGATGCCTGAGGTGACAGTGCCAACGTTGGAGAAGCCGACCGGCATTGGCGGTGCTGAGATGGATGACGCCGTGGTCATCAGTGCCGTGATGGCAGGTGCAGTTGCTGGCAGTGCTGACCGGTGGGCTGGGTGCGACTGTTGATGGCACCGATGTATATTTTTCCCAGGATTTTAGTTCTGAGACTGACTTATGCCTGGCTGCCATAGTACCTGATGTCCCAGGTTTGCCACCCATACTTACACAGGCCGAGAGGGCTTGTGGTAGGAAAAGGGCTGATGAGGCTCTTTTTCAAGCCGGAGCTGGCTGTGGAGAAACGGCTTTTCTTTTCTCAGCCTGGGTGATTGCAGAGTGGAGACTGGCTGTGCTAGTTCACGGGTTGCAATGCGTTGTCAAAAAGGAACATTTTTTGGCTTATTTCTCTATCCCTACATGCCCTACTAATCAGTTTAGCACAGTGAACACATTTCTGAGGCACGTACACCTCGCCGAGGCACTTAATGCAGTCGGCATGACCGTCCAATGCTGGCATTGCGTCAGGGCACATGGCGCACTTCTTAAAGCTGGGCGAAGAAGGAACTGGTGGGAGCCGGACCGTGCGTGCAATCAAAAGGGCACAGATGGCTCGAGGCGCAAGCCGCACATGCGTGGTCTGGCTGACAACTGCTCATGAAAACTCCGATCTGCAGCACCAGGATGACCTGACACTAACAGTGGAGCACCCACGGGGACATCACTCAAAGAAGAACCATCCATTCCCTTTTTTTCCTGGGCCTCATACAAGCATGGCACTGAACTGGACCCTCAACATCAGTCAATCTTTATGGTTGCTAAAGGGAACTACAGAACAATGAATGTATTCAGATTTAGAGCTCAAAATCCACATCAATTATATTCAGAGTTTTTAACAAACAAAACCATAATCACTTATTATGCACGCAATGATTTTTTTCCCTATTACACCAACTACAAATCTTACCAGTGAGGCATCCAGCAGCAGGGACATCACCATATGGCAAATCAAAACCCGCAAAAGGAGACAGCTCAAGAAAAGATTCATCATCCAGGAGCATTCTTAGGCGTTCACGAACAAGCAACTTCTTGTTCCTTTGGGTATGACGCAAGATTGCATTCTCTCCACCACCTTTACTGACCTTGTAGAGCAACTCTGAATATCTGATTTCAAAAACAAAGCTTAATTAATAAAAAAACAGCTTGTTACCAAATAATACTTTTAATAAGTTAATACAGTACTTAAATTAACTGCCCAGTTGACACACCGATGTTTGACAATAAGGTTAAATTATCACTTTGGAGTTATGTTTCTGAAAGGAAGTTAATTTCAGTTAATATAGTTTAGGTCACAGTAACCAAAACAAACAAGTGAGACAAGAAAAATATAGATATTTTATAGGAATGAGACATTTCATTTTGATTTTTCACAAGTTAGATTTTCTATAGCCTAATAAGACAGTTCAGAAAACAATCAAAATAAGTTCTGTTTATGGCTTTGCATAGTCATGCCGGAATTCATTAGATCTATAGGCTTTTCCTTTGTATTGTCCATATATATCCAACGTTAAATGTTTTAAACCATCTAAGTGATCAAATTACCATCTGTATTTGCAGCTCACTCCATGGAGCACTAAGAAGTGACTAAGCAGTTACTGATTATCACAATTAAGGTATCTAATTCTGAGATGTTGAGCATTTGATCAGAATTTTCACTGCAAATATTGATCTTCGCAGTTTACCAGTTTTAATTCAATTTTAGCAAGCCTTACTTTTAGGGTTCAGAAAAAGACAACAAATGGTCTGGTAGCACTTTATAGACTAACGAAACATGTCGATGGTATCATGAGTTTTTGTGGACACAGCCCACTTCTTCAGATAACCTGAGTTATGAGTTGGGGATAAAACTTGAAATAAATAAGAGAGGGGAAAAGGAAGGGGGAAAGAAAGAAAAAAGGAGGGGGGTGGGAGACAGAGCATCATTAAGTATTTGGAGAATGGGTACTTAAACCTAAGCAGATCAAAATCAAAGTCAATAGATAAGATTCCTAAAACAGGAAGGATACCACTCAGGGAGCTATTGGCACCTTCAGTGGTTATTAAGTAGGTAGAGTCCCCACCAGACCATATCACGATTGAGTCCATTAGCATGTGAATTGAATTTGTGGATGAACTGGGATTCCAGGCTTTCTCTGTGTATTTGGCTTGTAGAGCTGGTTTGTGACAAGACAGCTACTTGCAGGTCTATCAGACTGTGATTAGGCAAGCTGAAATGCTCACCAACAGGCTTCTGTATATTCTCTTGACATATATCCAATTTGTGTCCACTGATTCTTTCCTGCAGAGACCGTCCAGTTTGTCCAATATATATAGCAGTGGGCACTGCTGTCATTTGATGGCATAGATCAAATTACTGGATGTACAGTCAAATGACCCTTTGATTTTGCGGCTTATGTTGTTTGCTCCAGTGATGAATTTGTCAGTGTAGATATGTGGGCAGAGTTGGCATCTTTTTTGGTTGCAGGGCAGGGTTCCTGGAGGTTTATCATGTGGTTGTGTGGCATGGTTATCAGAAAGAATGCATTTCAGGTGAGGGGGTTGTCTGTAAGCATGAACAGATTTTTCTTCTAAGGCCTCTGAGAGTGAGGGATCATTTTTCAGGATGGGTTGTAGATTGTGTATAATGCATTGGAGGGGTCTGCGTTGTGGACTGTAGGTAACAAGGAGTTCTGTTATTTTCTCTTTTGGGTCTGTCTTGAAGTAGCTCATGTCTGGGTATTTTTTTGGCTCTGTCAATTTGTTTTTTCGCTTCCCCAGGTGGGTATTTCAGTTTTAGAAATGCTCTGTAAAGATCCTGTAGGTGACTGTCTCTGTGGGGTCGGATCAAATCCAGTGGTATCGTGGGCTTGGCTGTATACAATCGACTGAAAAATGTGTCTGGGATGCAAGCTAGAAGCATGAAGGTACGCTATTCTAGAAAAAGAAACTATTTACTGGCTTCTTCCCTGGTTCTTCTCAAGTGCTGAAAACAGTTTATCCATTAGTACAGGCACGACAAAACTAATCTTTAACTTCATTGCACAAAGAACGTTTTAAAGCTGGTGAACGTTGCATTATATTTTCACAAAACTAAAAAGGACTAGTTATTTTTATTACCTGAGCAGCACAGTGCAAATAAGAAACAGAGTAAATGGTAAACAGTAAATTTCCTTTTTAAAAATCACCTGATCAAAAGTAAAGTACAATTTTGTTTTAAAATATATATATATATATATATATATATATATATATATATATATATATATATATATATATATATATATATATATATATATATATATATATATATATATATATATTTTAAAACAAAATTGTACTTTACTTTTGATCAAAAAAAAAAATCCATGAACAATTATGTACATTATTCACTATTTCTACCTTGGCTTCCTGCAAGGAAACTAAGTTTAAATGCCTCATGAGAAAAAGCAAAGAATTGTAAGTTACTATTTTTAAATACCACCACAAGGGGGCATAATATTTTTCCATGGCTTGGTTATGTAGCATGCTTCAGAGGTGTTGCCATATGATCTTTAAAGACAAATATATAAAAGAAAGAAATATATGAAAAGAAAATAATTTTCCTCCTTTTAATACTGAATCATGATTAATGGAGATAACTGTCATCTATTTCACTAGAGTTTTGAAAAAGTATGAGTCCCTACCATCTTTGCATTAGAAATTAAACACTGGGTAAATTTTGATGTTCTTAAAATTATTTGTTAACAATATATGCAAATTAACAACATAGTTTTAGTTTTAAATTGAGATCCCTAACACTGGAAACTTCAACTGATATTCAGGCACCTACATAAATAGGTTGACATTCTGAGCTGAACAAATATCTTGCTAATAGGCCATGTCCAGGTAAGCACCAGCAAAGGAATCATTTCAAATTTTCAAGTGGCAAAAACCTGCTAAAAATCTTAATTTCCAGATTTCTTAAGTTAACTGACTGAATTTAAAGGCACCTGAAACTATCTATAGGCTATTGCATGTATAGTCTAGTTTATATACATAATACTGCAAAAAGATTACAATAATGGCTAATTACCTTTGAATACAAGCCTCGCTATTCCTTAAGTTTTTTTCAAACACATGTTCACATACAGAAGGGATACTTCCATCTAAAATTGGGAAGGTTTTTATATACTGTCCATATCTTGCTTTGTTATAATGGGGAAACATACATTTAAATGTGGGGACAGTCTTTTTTATAAGATTGCAGAAATTATTTTGTAGTGTCCACATTGTCTATCCCTGCAGAAGTCTTTATAATTTCTTATGAATAAAGAAGTTAAGGTTTGGATCCTTGAAGACATGAAGCTAGGAGAGTCTCCACAGTGAGCATAAAGTGATATTGTTCCGATGTGACCCTAGGAATTAAAAGAGAAACAGCTTTTTATTTCCAGAATGAAAATCCAGACCCTTCATTTGAAAGGATGAAAACTAATGGGCACTCATTTTTATGTGACAACTGTCAAATGCTAAGCCTTAAAAATCTAAATTCAAGTTATTCTTTCATTTATTTAATATTGTTTATCAGTGAATTAAATACTCACTAAATAGTAGAGACTAATTTTAGAGTTACAGAGCATCTCCAGTATAAAAGACTAGATTGGAGCTGTACTTATTGGGCATATTTGAAAATTGGGCTCCAAAAACTATGCTAATGATCAATGGCAGAGTTAGCACACCTCCCCCCAGGTGACTGAAAAGGTTCACCCTCATTTACAGAGCAGTATTCAGTTATTAAAAAGTGGGCAGGTCAAGTGTAAGAGCTACATTATTTATACACCAGGGACCAAGGTTTCCTCTACGTTTTTCCATCCTTGGGCAGAATAAATTTTGCACTGAGGAATGTGAAGATGTGCACCACCAATAGAAACACATGCTGGCTACTGTGAGCAGCTATGGGCACTCTGCTAATCAGCTGAATCTCTGCTGGACAGTTGCTCAAGTGCTCAGCTTACAGGGGACCATTGTATGCTAGCTTGCCTGACTACAGGAGGCACCTGCTTCTCTGGCTGTCTCATATGTACTTTATTGCCTATTCTGACCCTTCCTGAGGGAGCACAGGATAGTGCCCCTTTGAATCATAGTGTTGGAAGAGACCTCAGGAGGTCATGTGTCTAAGCTCTTGCTAAAGGCAGGACCACTCCCAATTTAAATCATTCCAAGCCAGGATATTATTACCTCTGAGGATGGAGATTCCACTAGCTCCCTTGGGATCTCATTCTAGTACTTCACCACCCTCCTAGTGAAATAGTTTTTCCTAATATCCAACCTAGACCTCCCCCACTGCAACTTGAGACCATTGCGCCTCAGTTTTGTTATCCCTCACCATTGAGAACAGCCTCTCTCCAGCCTCTTTAGAACCCCTTTCAGGTTGAAGGCTGCTATCAAATCTGCCCTCACTCTTCTCTTCCATAGACTAAGCCCAAACCCCACAACCTATCCGAGATATGACAGGGGCTAGACAGACCACTGATCTGATTACAGCCATTCATTTAGGGCTCCCCTGGTTCTTCCTCATTGAGCTGGGCTCTTCACAACCCTGCTGTGAAAGAGAGCAGTGGCCCAACCCACTGTACAGCGGGGAGCTGCCCTCCTCATACAGGAAGTCTGGGCAAAGCAGGGAATTGAACCACAACCTATCCGAGATATGACAGGGGCTAGACAGACCACTGATCTGATTACAGCCATTCATTTAGGGCTCCCCTGGTTCTTCCTCATTGAGCTGGGCTCTTCACAACCCTGCTGTGAAAGAGAGCAGTGGCCCAACCCACTGTACAGCGGGGAGCTGCCCTCCTCATACAGGAAGTCTGGGCAAAGCAGGGAATTGAACCAGCCGTGACAACCCTCCCCCCCTTACTTCCTCCCCCACCCACAGCTGCTCTGGCGGGGGGC